GGGGTTGTTGTGTTTCGTTGTAAAGGAGTATGGTCATGTGCATCACCAGGTACATGGAGTGCAGTGAAGAAGTGAGAAAGGAGCACAGGAAAGAACGGAGGAACCCATGCTGCAGTAGCCAGGATGCAGTCGGTGTGTTCCAGCAGCAGACAGGAGGTATCTGCTGTGAAGGGAACTTGCTCTTTACTCCAGAACTCAGTTCCCTCAGACCAAGAAGACATGCTCAGCTAGAAGACTGCAGTTCGGTTCTCCCACATCCTGACTGCTACAGTATGGCTTTTTCTATTTTTTCCTGTATGCCTTCCTCACTCTTTACTGTACTTCAAGTAACTGGTGGTGTAGATGAGCATATTACCCACCCCCTTTTTAAAAAAAAAAACTAAATACAATGTTATGTTTTGATGGACAACAACCAGGGCAGAATTCTGGTTCTATGACAGTCCCCCTCCTTTCCTCCATCAGTGGCATGCTCATTTAGCACTTGTCTTTCATATTCCAGTAAGTTATTTTGCTCTCACTGTTTAACAGAAAACAAACAAAAATCCTTGCATACAATTCTCCTGTTCAATTGGAGAATTTTTTTAATATTTTTCACTTTATCACTGTAAAACCCAAGGTGGTTTTTAACTTTTTTGTACATTAGCTGTTATGTGCAGGGCAATCTGTCTTAAAGCAGGGATAAATTGCTCTAAGAGAAATGAATCCTAGATAATTTTCCCATTAAGCATCTTGTGGCTTAAATAAACTTCCTGTTTGACATGAAAGAAAGAGTCATATAGTAGCTAGCATTTACCAAATGCCTGTGTAACCCTTGTATTAACCCCACCTTGAACAGATGAGGAGTTTGAAACACAGAGAGATGACTCTGGCGACTTGCCCACAGTGGCTCAGGCTCAGTATGGGAGCTGGGATTTTGAATCCGAGCCTGGCTAATGCTAAAAACCCTGCTCTTGGGATTTCCCTGGCAGTCCAATGGTTAGGGCTCCACGCTTGCACTACTGGGAGCCTGGGTTCAGTCCCTGGTCCGGGAAGTAGTCCCGAAAGCTGCATGGCACAGCCAAAAAATTAAAAAAAAAAAAAAAAAGCCCTGTTCTTTTCACAACGTTATGTTGTCTCCTTTGTTTCCTGGCTACTTATATTAGAGTTTCCTGAACAGTCTGTTGTTGCTCTTCAGGATGTGAGAGAACCAGTGAAAAGTAACTCTCCTCCACCTCACTAATATTTTTAATTATATTGAGGCACAGAAATATTTAAAACAATTTGCATTGGAACCAAAAACCAAATGCTGTGAGTTTCTTCCATTTCATTAAAAGTTACTTAATCTTTCGATTGTTTCCTGTCTTAAAGCCAAGCAGAATTTTATCAGCCTATTGCCTCAAAGTTATAATCTGGAAAATCTTTCCGTAATGAAACCCATATGTCATGGGCGAAAGGTGCAGAGCCCTGGCAGAGAGGGCTGGTCTCGTGAGAGCTTGTGCACCCAATCTCGTTAACCAGGGTACCTCTGGTAATCCCTCATCTCCTCACCGGTGAGAAATCAATCTGTACCACTGAAATCTTTTTCCACCAGCCACCAGAAAATTTACTGCAGAGAAGGCAGTTTGGGGATAGTCATTGTGGAAAGGGAGCCAGAGGCAAGGCTGAGTGTAGGCTGGAGGAATTGGAGAGTCTAAAGAAGAGATTACATTCAAGCACACATCACCTTCACCACAAGCAGGATGGAGTCCTCCCTTCAGCCCTGACCTCTCTAACGTGTACCCAGGTATTTACAACTGCCATGAACCTGACAGCCCTAGGAAAACTGTGAAGGGGTAATAGAACCGGAATCAACCTGGAAGTTGATTTTAGTTTATCCGCTTGTCGTCTTTAAATGTGTACACATTGTCCCCTGTCGCTCACTCCGCAGCAGTTCACATGTTCAGCCTTTGGTGAGAGTCTTGATTGTGGCTTCCTCAGTTTATGGTCTGTGCCCAGCCTAGGAAGGCCCGTAAATCCCAACCTGACATGGAGGCCGAGCTTCTCCTGTGCACAGCATACTGTGCTGGCCGAGGACCAGTGGATCCCTCTTGGCTTAGTGATTAGACTGTGGTAGCAGTGTTGCCTTTCTGTTGAATCTCATAATCCTAGAGAATTAATCCGGAACTAGAAGATAGTTAAAAATGGTGTTGACTTCAGATAAAACTCTCTAGCAATTTTATTGTCTCCAGGACAGTCTTCTGACACACTGTGGGGGAAAAAGAACCAGGAGAGAAGGCAGAAATCAGAATTGCCAAGCTAAGGAGCATGTAATCTTACCCTGACTATTAATGTAAGGATTATACCGCAAAGGGATGGAACTAAGCAGGAGGACGTAGAAATACCTTCGTCTCCTCTGTCAGCAAGCTGTCGTCTTCTATAAAGGTTTTTTCCCCAACAAGATTTGAAATCCTTTGTGGGAGTTTTTTAGTAAAATATATTTATGTGTAAAACCGTACTGGAAGGGGGGTGTGTGTGTGTAGAAGAGGAATACGGAATAGTAGCAGAAGGCTGTCTCTCTACTCCTAATGGGATTTTGTAGCAGCATGTGCGAGTTTGTTTCAGAAGTCAAAAATGAACAGATGTTGGTATAAATTACCTCTGTGTCTGATGTCTTGCAAATTAAAAGCGCGGTTGGCATCACTAAACAATTTCACTAGGTTTGGGGGGTGCGGTTAGCGGGCGGTGATTCCTGTAGCAGGTCGGTGAGAATCTTCATACTGCAGTAGAACAGGAGAGCCAAGGATAAAGAGATGAGGAATAAAACCAGGGGTATATGAATTAATCAGAAATGTTAACATCACTGATGACAAGTGAACAGGAGGGCACGTGCTCTGGAGCAGCCGCTGACCCACAGCAATTTCTCTGTGCACAGAAAGGGGTTGGTGCTTAGGATGTGATTTATAGGGTACAGCCCTCTTTTAGGGAGCAGCTATGTCAGGAATTCGTATATCTCCTATATGGACCAGCGAGTAGGAGAACTTTCTCCCCTCCCGTGTAGAAGATGATGTCTTTTGAATTACTTCTACTTTTACGGTGGTTTTGCTACAGCTCTGTGTACTTAGATTAGGTTGAAGGGGGAGGAATGATTGAGTGGAAAGGGGGTTGTTAAAAAGGATTGGTTAAATTCAAGGAGAGCTTGCCACTGAGAGACTTCAGAATATCTGTTTATTTCTTTTTTAAAATTCTTTTGATCCCTTGAATAGATTGGATCTTGTAAAATTTTAGGTCTTAAAATATTGGTCATTTTCCCATTTGGGGAAAAAAAAGTAAAGAATTGGGTTATATGAAGTACAAGAGGCAGATATAATTAGTAAGATCAGTACAGTGCTCTTAGCCCAGGAGTTTTGAAACAAGGCTCAGTTCTACCCACTGAGTTATTTTTATTACCCAAGTCTGATTTCCAAAGCACCTGCTTCTAGCCATGCTGCAGGATCATTGAATACTGTGTTTAAAGTCATTAGTAAGCACTGGAGAATAGACAGAAAACCTATCCAAGGAGGAATAAATGATGAGACCCACTCTGAACAAAAGTATAAGTAGTCAGTTCCTATGGGATCAGGCTGAGGGGAAGATTCCAAGAAATGGGATGTTTGAGATTGCTAGTCAGCCTTATCACAATCCACTCACTTATTCACTCAGGAAATACTGCATGCAAGAGAAGCAACAGACTACTAACTTCCTCTGAAAGGTGATGTGTTAATAATATTACCACTGCACGAAGCATGATCATGGCTGAATACCCAAGAGGGCAGAGCAGGTGGTATTAATATGCTACTCATTTTACAGATGAGGAAACTGAGGCTCAGAGATCCTACCCAACTCAAAGTGTCACCTAGCTGACAAATACTAGAGTTGAAAGTTAATTCAGATCCTGTATTCTCTGAAAGAAGTCCATGCTGCCTCCCCGGGGCAAGAAAACACTTATTCGGATTTCTACTAGAGTAGTTGGTCCTGTGCCTAGATCTCTCCATAAGTCTGGTGTTACTTTCATCAGGGAAATGACTTTCCTGCCAAACAAGCAAGGTAAATTTTAAAAGACTCCCACAATGTAGAGAGTGGAGCAGTGAGGGTCACTGACAAGTCTTACTGTTCGTCTGTGGAAGGGAAGGAAACTGACTTTACTGTGTTCCTTTTGGTTCTCAGTTTTGTTGTTTATCATCATCTAGCCAGCAGTTACTCAGCAGATACTGGTAGGTGCTGGGGATGTAAACAATAGTAAAATACCATCTCTTTCCTCAGTTCTTATATTTCCATGAAGGAAGACAAATCACATCAACAAGTAATTGCAAGTCTTATAGGAAGTTTATATGTATGGAGTTTGGCATAAACTCACTGAAGGAATGGTCAGTTTGATTTTGGCCAAGGTAGGGTTGTGGGCACATGAGACAAGACCCAGCACTGGGGCTTCCATTCCTAGTTAATGGGATTTCCTTTTCCTTTGTTGGAGCTTTGAACTTGTGAAAGATAAGGAATGAGTAGACTACAGTTACCTAAAACTTTCCTATAGTTACAAAGTTTGTACTGTTTTCTTTCTTTCTTGTACAAATAAACCAAGAACTATTCAATATAGGTGGTAGGGGTGGGAAGTGGGCACCCGTCATCTACCACTATTTGCTCTGCTGGGAAGGAAAGCACGGAGCCTAGAGTGAAGGTCCTTCTCAGCCCAGCAGTTGCCTCCCTAGTCATCTCTCTCCTTTGGCCAAGATGGAGACATGTCCCTAGGAGGCCAGAGGGCACCGCAGCCTGCTCTATGTCCACTGTGTGGTTTCAGACTTCTGGACTCCAGGGCCAGCTATAGAAAACTTTCGGCACTGTTACATCCATTTAAGACATAAAAAGAGGATCCGTTTAAGAGACATAGGGATAAGAATGAAGGGGGTTATGCCACATATGATTTTTGAGAATTTGCTTGACCGATCTAAAACTGGGGGCTTCTGGAGTGGGTCTTGTAATTGAGAAATGTTTTTTACTTTCATTTTCAGAGCCTCATATGTAGGAAAGTAGCTGTATAAACCCTCTTGTAACTACAGCATTCAAAGATTGATGGTACTGAAAGTCAGAGAAAGACACATAAACCTTGCCTGGCTATATTAAATATCTAAGGACTGACAATGCCAAGAGAGAGAAGACCAAAGCTCTATAAACCCTACTTTATTACTCCATCCACAGATGAACTGCACTGAGGGAATATAAACCTTGTTATATTACAGTGTCCAGGGACTACCACTCCTGAGAGATGGGGTAAATGATCTCTAATTTTGATTTGAGATTATAAATGTCCAGAGACCAACAATCCAGAAAAGACTGTGATCTTGGTTGGATTTTAGCCTCCAGAAGCAAACCTCCTGAAACAGTAAACATGAATATTAGGTTACATTCTTGAGGGAGAGGGGGATTTGGGGGGAGCTCCCTGGTGATTTTTTTTAAAGGGTGAATGATAAAGATTTCCCCAGTTGGCCTGCACCATATAGTAATTACCAACCTCAGGACAGTGTTGGTAATTACCATAGTTGTCAAGAGTGGTTTGTGTTTCCCACTTTTTGGAGGTTAGTAGGGATGGGATCTGTTAGGATAGCAACTTTGTATATAATTTATGTCAATGCGCATTCTCAAATTAAGTCTTCCTGTGAACCCTTTTTCAGAGTTTAGGTATTCATTGATCTTTCATGTACTTTGTGATTCCAGCCAGAGAGATGACAAGGGGGAAATTCCTCAACATTCTAGAGAAGCCCAAGAAGTAGCAGCTGCTTGTGGACAGGATGTCCTGGGGCCCGGAGCCATGCTTCCTTCCCAGTGCAGCTCTGAAGATGCACACCTCACTGCTTCTTGACCAGAGACCAGAGGGTGCACTCCAGAATTCACCCGCTCCCCTGCTTCTGGCACTCTGCACCTCTGAGGACGTTCGGCAGCAAGAGAGGAATCTGCTCTACCCAAGGATCGGTGCAGTTATTCCATCAGCTTCCAGACTTTGACCATCTCAACCTCGGATGTTGGTGACACCAGAGAGCATATCATTCTTAAAGGTCAAAGTCCTGCTTTCTCATTTCCAGAAGTGATTCAGGAGTTCCAGGATCTTACAGTTGATTTGATTCAGTGATGGCAAAGTCAGTTAAGACATGTTGATTGGACAAGTTCCTTTGAATTGTACTTCGTGTCTTAGGAATTATTTATGATGCTAGGAGACCAGAGGCCAATTAGATTCTGGACCAGTTAGATTCAGATCAGGGTGCAGTTTGACCTGCGAACCCACCAATGTATACTAGGTTCCAGGAATCCCCAGCTAGAGAAATGCTTTTGAAACTCTACACCTCTCATAATAGTTGCATCCTTCAATGCCTTCTGTTCCCCACCTCCAAGGGCCCCCCATGTGTCTTGACTCTGGGGAGCGGGATCCCTGTGTACCAAGTCCCTCCTGGGATTAGCTTGTACAGTGAAAGGCTCATGCAGTGTTGCATTGGGTTCTAGATATCAAGACTAGCTTAAAGGTGATGGAAAGGACTTTTGAGTTCTGGTTAATCTGTTACAGATTCAAGTGAGAAAGTAGGTATGGTCTGAAAGATGGGAGAAAGGGATTGAGTACAGGAGTTCCCATTTGATTAAAAACTAGAAATTCTAATTGACCTTAAAGGAATGTGCTGTGGAATGGTGGCAATATTTTCCCTGCCCGCCCCCCATCCCATCTCATAGCACAGATTAGATAGTGCACTCATATAATAGAAATACACACACACACACACACATGAGAAAGAATTTCTTGACTCTACAATTCTTATGGAGCTCTTTGTCCATTATCTATGTTAAGACCTGAAAATCTAACCCATGTTTAAAATTGATTATAAGTATTCTCCTTATTTTGTCTTGTAAGCCAGTCCCCAGCTTCTGTTATTTTGAGAAGTTCATGGGGTTTCCTAAACTTTATGAAAAGAACATCCATGTGGCAGTAGTGTGTTAGTGTTTAGACACTAGGGATGTTGTGGTCAAGGTTTTGATGCTGAGTGTCTGGCTAGGGTACAGTGCTACTCAGTTTAATAGCTGGTCCATTAGCCATTTTCTGACCCTTCTGCCTTGTTTCCCATGCTAGAATTAAGGTTCTATTTTTCTTTCATTTGGTTCCTTTGACCATCCATGCAATTTTACTTATTGATCAGAGTGGGTGGAATTTAACACAAGACATTAAAAGAGAGTATGAGAAGGCGAACATTCTGTTTGGATGCAATATATAAGGTTAGGCTAGAGAGGTTTTGATTTTAAGTAAAGCTTATCATTGACATTCCTTTATCTTAAATGCGGTTAAAGAATGTAAAAGATGGGGAGAGAGAAGGAAGGAGGGCTGTGCAAAAAAATAATGCCACAATGTTAGGTTCTAACTTTGCTCTGTTTTTTGAGTTGATGGTGTCAGGCACTTCTAAGTGCTTGGGGAAATTGAGAAATAGATGGAGAACATTGGGATACCTCCCTCAAACCAACTCCAGTCTGTAAACTGGTTTTGGGGTCTGCTTTGGCCTCTTCCTTTTACTGTCATCTTATCCACCAGCACTTAATATACATAGATGTTTTAGAATTGCAATATTTATTGGTTTTGTATTTGCCGTCCTTAGAAATGTTATTGATTTATTTTTATATTGATAATATAAATTTATGTACAATGTGTGCATGTATGTATTTTAGGGTGTTAGAGGATTGTACTTTGTGTATAGTGGTTTCTGTGTCGTCATAATAAATATGTACCTTTTATTAGGAGAGTGAGTTTTTCCTCGAAAGGCCAACTTGCATATTTAAAGCACAGACCTCATCAGAAAACACAGCTATAACAGCAGATGACCCACTGTCTTCCCTTTAATATCACGTTGGGTGATGTGGGGCTTTGTGATCATCTACTAAATGGTCTCCAGCTGCCAGCTACCAGCCACCCAACTCTGTTGCATACTTCCCCTCGTCTGCTAAAAAGTCTAGATCTGTCCTCCTGGCATTTAAAACTCTCTTCATATAACCCTAAATAACCCTCCAGTTTGGTCTCCTTTCTCTCCACTGTATGAAGTCTCTATCCCAGTTAATCTGAACAGTTCCCAGTTCCTCACTTACGTGCCTTTGTGGATGCCATTGAGTTCCTGGAAGCCTTGGATCCTTTTCCTGCCCATTAGCCTTCCTTCCTGTAAACCCTATGATCCAACTGGGCATAATCCTTCCCCCTGCATTCTCACAGCATTTATGTATACCATCCTTATGACTTTTATTACTACAGTCTACCTTATATTTAAGTGATCTGAGTACATATCTTAGAGCCCCACTAATTTATCTGCTCCCTGGGATTGTGGCTGTCTCCCACACATCTAAGTTCTTCAGTGGCTTCTTTGAACTGGAGGTTCATGACCTGTTTGTTTGCATGCTTCCAGTTAAACAGGACATATCAAAAGCAAATACTTCTCTGCCACCTGCCATAAACCCTTATTATGCATCCCTTTACAACTCTGTTCAAAAACAGAAGTACTGATGTAATCAGTACTACTGGTGTCACTCATTGATGGTTTATCTGCTCCAGACCAGAGCATGCCCTTTTAGAGAAAACATTCCCTTTTAAGGAAAGCAGATTGCTTAGCACCATTGGTTCATCATTGATTGCCAAGAATATATCTGGGTGGACAGTACATTTCTCTGATCTAGAAAAGCACGACTGGGGCTTCCCTGGTGGCTTAGTGGTAAAGAATCCGCCTCCCAAGGCAGGAGACATGGGTTGGATCCCTGGTCTGTGAAGATCCCATATGCGTTGGAGCAGCTAACACTGTGCACTGCAACTATTGAGCCTGTGCTCTAGAGCCTGGGAGCCGCAACTACTGAAGCCACCGCAGTGAGAAGCCCTCAAACCGCAACCCCAAAGTAGCCCCTGCTCGCCGCAACTAGAGGAAAGCCCACGCAGCAATGGAGACCCAGCAAAACTAAAATAAATAAAATTATTTTTAAAAAAAAGCATGGCTGATTGACTGACTGAAAAGGTACAGCATGACAAATATGCTGCTTTAAATCTTCAGAGATTATTTTTCTCATAAATGATTATTTGCCTACAGATTTGTTTTCCCTTTCCTTTTGCTGTTCCAAACACCATCCATGCCTCGCATCTGTTGGCTGTGAGCAGAAGCATAGCGTTGGTGCCTGGAGACACATTTTCAAATTCTTACTCTAGTCTTTTCTCACCAGGAGTCTCATTGCTGCTTGCTCTCCTCAGTCTCTGAGGTTTCAGGCCTCAACTGATTTGCTTGACTTTCTTTCCTTTGTTGGAACGGTAGAAGTTCAAGGATATCAACTGCATTGATACCAAAATCGTGTGATTAATTTATCTTTTTGTTACATATTTTCATTGTGGTTTTTTTTTTAATAGACAGCTGCTAATTGCTCCTTGTTTTTGGCCCTCTGCCTTCTGAACTCACCGTAATCAGAGCAGTGCAAATGGAGCTGGTGAAAGTCATTCCATTGCCCCCGGGGCTTCCTCAGCGTGTTTGGACTTCCATTGATGCTTTATGATAAAGCCAAGAAATTGCATTTCCAGAGGGATGCTCCGGTCTCTTCTGTTTCCTGCAGGATCAGAAAGGTAATGCAGAGCAGGAAGGGAGGACACAGGCAGTGGGCCAAGGTGGATGGTCCCAGGGGGGTCAGGTGACAGGGTTTCTTAGCAGCTCTCAACTTCTGCACCAACTCCATCTCCAAGCATTTGGTTATGTTCTACAGTGTCTGTTTTTTTCCTCCTTTGAGAGCTACAGGACTACCTGGCCTTGCATGGGCTTCATTGCATAGAAGGACCTTGTACCCTCCACCCCTGAAGAGTGGGCAGTCAGCGGTCTCTCCTGGTGCGTGAAGCTCTGACTGGCCAGTAACTGACTTTTCCTATCTATTTAGGCTTTGGGGCCCTTTAAGGATATGAACCTGACTCTGAAAGGCCACCAGCCTTCCCACCCTTTGCCCAACACTTTCTTCCCGAGCAGGGCTGGTTGGGGGCTTCAGGTGGCACCAGGTGCACGGGGGAGGCACCCGAGTGCTGGCAGAGCCTGTTAATTAGCACATGAACACCCCAATGCTCCATTAGCCAGGCCAGGCATTCGGAACCTTCCCCTCCTGTGGCCCCTTCCTCCTAATGAGAGCTGGAAGAAGGGCCCTCACAAAACACTGCCTCAGAATAATATTCCGCTTTGTCCCCACCAGTAACCAGGGCTGACAGGATCACTCTGTCCATTTCTCTTCTAATTAGCACAATTCCAGCATAGCCTGAGCCAGCAAACAGAGAAAAGCGATCAAAAGCGATCGGACAACCGTACCGAATCACAAACACAAAGAGGGCCATTCCCCGTAATTAGGTGAGACAATTCCTCAGTCTTTTCTCGGCTGGAGTTTGCCGCTAAGACTCTTGCTGTTTGGGTCCCAGCAACACAAGTTACATGTCTCCCTGGGACACTAATAAGCCCCAAATTGTCTTCCGCTTCACACAACTCTAGCCAGAAGACAGATGCAAGGGGAGGGGGCACAGGGAGGGGACAGGGGCTCTAAAGGAGCAGCTGCCACAGTTTCCCCAACTCCAAGAAGCAGACACTGGGGCTTGGCAGAGAGGGAGTTGGCTTGAGAGAACCGCCATGGGTCCTGCCTGGTCCCTGAACTGGAGTCTGAAGCCCTGAGAACTCCTGACCCTCAGGTGATGCCCATTCTCTCCTGTTCATTCCGCACCTTCTGCCTTTGGTCCCCATTTGGGCTTCTCATCCCTTCTCAGTGGTGGCCTCATGGGCAGCTGTGACTATGGCACCATTCCCCGGACATTGAAGCCTTATGCAACTTAATTACCATCTCAAGGACAGCAAACCCTTAGAGTGCGTGTGGATTCCACTCTCAGCTCATGACCTGGAAGGGGCCTTCCCTGCCAGCAACCATCTCCTGTTCCCCACCCCTGCCCGCTATCCCCATTCTTTCTGGTGGAAGATCCCTGGTTTTTAAAACCGAAAAGTGGCCCATCGGCTGCCAGGGCAGGAAGCCATGACTGGCCATACTCCATGTGGCTTAGAGGTTGGCCATTTAATAAACAGAAACAGTTCCCCCAGGATTGCAGCCCATTACAGGGATTACTGGGGGGTGATACAGCCATGAACTTGGTCAGGGACAAAGGAATGCGAGACAGAGTGGCAGTTGGAATCTCAATTAAACTCAAGCTCTGAGCTGAGTTGGACTCACACACGTTTTCATCTTTGTCCTGCCCTCTGCTTTCTGTTTTGATCTAAACTTCATGCTTCTGAAAGTGACCTCCAAAACCAGAAAACATTCAATTATCTAGAATCCAAGGAGCCAGAAAACTCAAAAGAATCAAAGTTGCTTTGTTGTTTTTCCCCATTGTCTCTATCCCAGACACAGAGAGGTAATGAGATGATTTGATTATTTAACTTTTGAGAGATTTCAAAGGATTGATCCAGATTTGTTCAGTCTCCTATAGTTTCTTTGACTATAAACAGAACTGAGAACAGCATCTGGCACAAAATAGATACTTACTAAGAATCTGTTGAAGGAATGATCTGCCACAATGCTCAGTGTTCATAGACTTGTTGCTGGTCTAAAATACAGTAAGAGCTTGGATTTGAGAGAGGAAGGATAAGCTTGTCAAGTCATTTCTCTCTCAGCCTCTCTGACTTCTCTCTGAGCCTCAGTGTCCTCAGGACTGCTTCCATTTTAAAGGAGCAGGCTAGCATCATGGATAAGGGCAAGACCTGGATGTCAGGTCACCTGGGTCAAAGTCTTATTTCTGCTATCTGCTGGCTATGTCACTTTGGGTAAATTGCTTAAGCTCTCTGTGCCTCTGTTTACTCATTCATGTAATGGGTCCAATGCACCTAACTCCTCGGGTTATTGTGGAGACTAAATTAGTACTTGTGAGTATTTAGAACAGTGCATGGCACATCTTACCCATGTTTAATTTTTTTATTATACCTGTAGATGTTAAAAATTGATAATCCTTGGACTTCCCTGGTGGTCCACTTGCTAAGATTCCCTGCTCCCAATGCAGGGACCCTGGGTTCGATCCTGGGTTGGGGGACTAGATCCCGCATCCCAGCACCAAGAGTTCACATCCCACAACTAAGCAACTAAGATCTGGCACAACCAAATAAATAAATACTTTTTTTAAAAAAATTGATCATTCTTACAGGGAAAATATGATTACTTTTGATTACCTTGAATAGCCAGTTAAGCTGAAAACCCACTTCTCAACTCTTCAGGAGAATGGATAGTTTACTGAATACCTCTCCTACTCCCATCCTTCAGCTCTCTGAAGCAGCCTGTGCCAGCGTGTTCCTGCAGGAAATACCACTGTTGACTGCACAGACAGCGGCCCCTGAAGACCAGATGTTGCTGATAAGCAAGGGAGGGGAGGGTATCCTTTGTGACCCTGGCAGATTTCTGAGCTGATGCTGAGCTTGGCACAAGCTGAGTCCCGTGTCTCACTAGGCTTGGTGAGCCTAACATGGGCTAAGCAGCCGTGGGGTTCTAGTCACTGCATAGCAGTGCTTCTTCCCATTTTGCTCTGTCCTCGTCACCTCTGCCCCCATCCCACCACCCTTTCTCCAGAGGCTCCCTGTCCAGAGCTGAGCGAGGTCCTCTTGGGCCTGAGCTCCCCAGGTAGCCTCTGGGAGTCTATAGAGAGCAAACAGCCTGGCCTGACTGCACGGCCCAAGGCCTCCGGGTCAAGCAGGGCTAAAGGTCACATCCCAGGGCCTTCC